ACACATTTTTTTTTTTTTTTTTTTTTTTTAACAACCCTTTACAAATGCAAAAGTCCTTCTCAGATCCCTGCAATGGAAGGCAGCTCAAGCTTGGGCTTAGCAGTCAACTTAAAAGCTAGACTGCCCCTAACTCACATATTTCTTTAAAAAGCAGTGACCCAAATTTCAGTCCAACAGTTCAAGCAAAGTAACATATCAAGGCAGCTAACTGAAAATGACAACTTTAACATCTACATCTACAAAACAAAGAGATGTACTTTATAGTCCTAATCCCATAATCTGACAGGAGTATTTTCCATTATCAATCCAGTGCTCAGTATGTTCACCCATCAGTTCTGGCATCTCATCATATTAGACTAGCATTAGAGCAAGATTTATCGCACTTCTCCCAGACTGAGGGAAAAACGAGGTCAAAGAGTCCTGAAAACCTTGCTGCCACTGCACATGCGGCATAGCCAGTAGCTCAGAGCCTCTTGGAGGCTCCTCAGCTTGGCTGTGGTGACGCAGCATTCTTCCTGCTGCCACTGCAGTCTGTGCATCTCTCCACTGATGAAGAATAAACTTTACATTGCTAACCTAGCACTTACACAGATGAGCAAGGCAGAAAATTCTTGAAAAGATCTCAACCAGTCAAAAAAGGAATACAAGGAAAAAAAGGAAGATTTAAATAAGACTGATTCCAAACAAAATTTACAATATTCAGTATTTAATTACATAATAAAGTGTTGTAATGACCTACACAATTCCTTTATGACACTTGAAAATGCTTACCTGTAGAATTTGTATAATTCTAGCACAAACAATATGCAACGAACATGTGTGTGCATTCTAAAACGTATCTGAGGTTAGCTGCATACATTATGCTTTGTTTTGCTAGTCTGCAACTATGCATACTATGTAAACATTTTGTGTGTAGCCCTTATTTCCATGAAGCTATCCTCTCACTTGTCAATTAATGCAGGCTACAATTTCTCTTTATGCCACTGGCTATTGACCAAAGTATGCTTTAAAAAAAGATTAAATGCCTAGCTTGTCTCTCCAACTTAAGTTGAATGTTCTTTATGACTAGGTCTCAGGTAATTTTAAATCCATGTAAAATAGTTTGGAAAATAAAACCATATTTACAAATTTCCACTTAAAATCTTAGTTTGCCAATCTATGCAAACACTGAAGTTTACAAGTAGCTAAACAAAAATAAACACTACTAGTTAAAACATTTCTGCTACAAATATTTACTTACGTTCGATTTTTCTCTTCATCCTGGGACATACAAAGAACCAGACGAAAAGGGCACAGAAAACTGCACATCCCACCGAGATGAGGATGGTACCCCACAGAGGAAGTTTGTCAAAGCCCAGCACTAGGAGATAAAACGGTGTATCTTGAAAACCCCAGGGCAACAGCCCCCTGCGATAATGTGTAAACCCTCATGTAGGAACACAGGGCTTCCCCAATCCAGCCCAACACCCTTGACAACTGCTGATAGCTTCAATTCCAGGTATATTCTGGTAGATACACAAATTGGGAAGAAAACCCCACATCTTAAACCCACATCAGTCTGGCCCCAGTAAACATCTGCTGGACTCATGTCCTCAGTCTTTTCATGGTCTACCTTTTTCATTTCTTGGCAAAAGATGTAACAATCACATCTGAGGAACTGTGACTAGCCATTAAACAAAGTGAAGCATCCATTACCCACCCAGTCTAACTGCCACATACTACATTTGCGCGAATGTATTCATTTGAAATATTATCTATGGGAAGATAAGTTTAAAGAATATAGCTGTCTTTCACAAACAAAAGAATTTAGTGGTAGTTTCACTAAAAAGCCCTATCTTGAAGAGATGTGCCCACCAATACTTTTTCACATGGTTCAAGGACCAGTATTATCGTCTGCTTGTCACTTTCTCATAAGGCTCCTACCTGCCTGCCTAAAGCCAGAAAGAAAACGCCACACAATTCTATCTAAGCCTTAGAGATGTTACAATGATGTGCAGTTTAAACAGCTTAGTTGCTTAAGCTTGTTTTGCTTATTTTGCTCATTAGGTATTAAATAACCTATCAAATGGAAATTAAATGCCTCCCCCAAAATATGTAAAAATCAGATATAAACTGAGGTTCTTCAAAACTCAAGTTCTATGACTAGTAGTCTTTTTAAATGTCTACTTCCAATTTTGACCTTTTAGTTATATAAGCTAAAATATACATGAAATTTAATCAGTCTCTATCACAATTTACATTTATCTACATTTTAAGTCAAAAGGGGAAATAAAAGGGGAAATGAAAGAATGGGTTTTCTTGTAAATGATTCATAAACAATAGAACAAAAGTTATCCAAGTTCTCATTTTCAAAAATGACTGAAAAAGTCAGGGAAGGTGGTACGTGTCTGTGATCCCAGCACTCTGGGAGGCTGAGGCAGAAAAATCATTTAAGCCCAGCACGATAAACTTACTGAGGCTATATCAAAATTTTTAAGAGGCAGGTGGGGGGGTTAAACTCAGTACAAGGGCCCTGGGTTCAATTACCCCACACACATAAAAAAAGAGGACTGAAAATTTATTTCCAATCTGATTTAACCTTTTGTACTAACACATAAATCACAAATGATTAGATTCATGGAAGTCTTTTCAGTTTAGCATGAAGAACTCAATTTGTAACAGAAGGAATTGGGCATATAAGCCTTTTTTCACATATAGCACTCAGTAAGAAGTGTGGCACCCTCCAAGGCCAATATTCTCATAGAGTTGTCTGTTCCTTTCCTGATATTCCAATAAAGGCAAGGTCAAAAATATGAGCTCCACATCAGTGACTTATTTGGAGACTTAAGAAGCAAGTTACAATCCATTAGTCAAAAATGAAATCAAAGTAATAAGCCAAAATAAGCCCTAAAAAGTTAAAATATTTGAAAATATGAGTACATAGCACATAGAATAAATTGCTTCCTGACACTACTTTCTATGTATGTAAACACATATATGTGCACAGGTACATACATACGTGTCTGTGCCTACATATATGTGCATGTGTGCGCTGGGCAGCAACACACAATGTATCTCTTCCAGTAGGTCACAGGCAAAAGACTTAAAAGCCACTGACTTATGAACTCAAGAACCACCAGGCTAAATAAGCCTAGAAGCCAAAACTGTAGTTCTGCTTGACAAGATACAAGTTATTAATCTCTTGTAGCTGGCAAATTAAACAGTGCCATAACTTAATTCATGCCTTGTCTTAGTCCCAGTATGAAAGCAATCAACACTTCAACCTTTACATTCTCACAAGTTATACTTCCTCTTAGCTGCATGAATTCTTCTTCTCAGTGTACTTAGAACAGGTGTTAAACATCTCAACTCTTCTCATTCAAGCAGATTCAGAGGAGTAAATTTAGTGCTTAGGAACAGAAGTAGCTCCGTTTGGGAGAGAAAATGATATCCAGCAAACCAGTCCTAAGTGACCGATTAGTGAAGAACAGATATGTAACTAGTGACTCTTCAGTAGTTGAAATCAGTATCAATTCCAGCATTTTTAGCATAGATAGGAGAAAAGGAGGGAGAAGATCATATTATCGGTGGATCCTGTGAAGACTAAAGAGGAAAGGTCTGTAGTGATTTAGAATCTGAGCAGGTCTCTTTGGTTGAAAAACTATCTAGGTTAACTCAGCATACACTAGCCTGCAGCCTTCTGAAATGGGCACAGGCCAGCCACCTTCTAGGAGATTTCAGCCCTGTAAAGCAAAAAGGGGTAAATTGGGCATTTAATGCAAGTTTTATAAATAACGTTAAATTCACATTTAAATATTTTGATATGTACTTACACGGTGCTCCAGTATACATGATGGAAAAGAGATTTATTCCAATTGTACAGGCATAAAAAACAGGCAAAGCTCGTAAACCATTAGGAACTGGGTCTGCCTGTAAAACATTAAGATCAGTATCTTAAAAGCTGTAAAAAGTTAACCCATTTCTAGAAAAACCTGTAACAGGACAAGTTTTGGAATTTCAATGCTAACAATGAATGGTCTTATAGTAATTTCCAAGGCAAACTAAGTTTTTCCTAAAAGTCTTGTTAAGAAAACTAATTCTATCTTCTACTTAAAGGGACTTTTCCTATGTTATTTTTTAACAAGACTACCTATAACAAAAAAATGAGAACCAAGACCTGTCATGTAAAGGTACAAGATCCCAATGATGAATGTAACTATAGTGTATACCTAGATTGTACCAATAAATTCAATTAGAAAAAAATATATATATATAAACCCCCCCAAAAAAAGACTACCTATAATAGTGATTGATAACATCCTAAATAATAAGCTTCAATACCAAGTTCCACAGTACCTGAAGTTTCTATGTAAGCTTAAATGCCTGAGACATAAAAGATGACAGAAATAGACCATAAGATTTGAATATTCCTACTTAACCTTATGCTTCAAATATTAAAAATAAAACATGTTAAGGCCGGGGATTTAGCTCAGCGGTTTGGTGGTCTGCCTTGCAAGTGCAAGGATCCGAGTTCAATCCCCGGTTCCAAAAAAAAATAAAAATAAAATAATAAAATAATAAAATAAAACATGTAGCAGGTATGTGCAACAACCACTTTATCTAAATACTGTATATGGTAAGGCACAGCATTACCTATATAATCAGTGCTTTACCCAAGTGCAAAGATAAAAATCAACTGTTCACTAGTCATTCAGCCAAGAGACTGTCAAGAACTATTCTGGAGGGCTGGGGATTTAGCTCAGTGGCACCACACCTACCTCCAAAGGGCAAGGTCCTGCATTAGATTCCCTGGTACCAAAAAAAAAAAAAAAAAAAAAAAAAAAGGAACTATTCTGGCTGGGCACTGAAGCATAAGAGGGAATGAGACCAAGTAAGTCCCTGTCTTTGTAGAATTGACATTCCATATTCTGGTATGGTAAAGCATTGACAAATACTGTGAAATAAAGAAGGGTAAAGACACACTGATAGAAGGATGAGCACATTTTAACTGAAGGAGGTTAGGGAGTTATCACTTGAGGAAAGACTTAAATGTCTCAGGAGAGAGAAAGATAAAAACTCAGATAGTGGGGATGGACATAAGTATCAGAAAGTAAAATGGCTCAGAGGCAAAATTTTGCTATTTTTAAGAAGAGTGAAGGCCAGCGTGACTGAAAATGAGTTCCACTTACAATTAATGTTTATTAATTCTATAGAAAAACACCCAATTAAAACAAGAATAAGGAAACAGATTTAAATTATTTGAGAAGGCTAATCTTCCAAGACAGCCTAAAGATTTAATGCTATTTTTACCACCATTCCAACAGAAAATATTGGGGAAGAAGAGACAGAGGGAAAGACCCAAGAAATGCTAAAACTTCTGACAAAAAAAAAAAATGTATCAATACTTTGGGGAGATGGAGGTAGTGGCTTAAGATCAAAACAGAAGAGAAAGTTTACAGACCCTTGTGTGGATAAGGATATCATTCTTAATCAGGATAAGCCCTTCCTGAAAACCAATCTTAATTTTAACTCTCTTATCCACTGTTTGAAAGAATACTAACAGCAAAATAAGACAAAACAAAAATAAAACCTTAAAGAACCCAGGAACTATAAATTATCTCTGAGTAACAATAGTATTGGTCACAACCTAAAGACTTAACAAGGTTAAGAACCCAAGGCATCTATTTTTCTTCAAAAGGCTACCCAGTTTTAAGAAAATTCTCCCAAAAAACTTAATGCCCCCAACCTAAAGACTGAAACCCATTAGGAATCTACAGACATTACAGAATATTCTATAGACTTTATAAGAATTTCTAACAGATTTTTCAAATATTCTATTATCTGATAATACAGCATCAATAAATCACAATGTGATGAGTAAAGCAATTTATGTACTTATTTTCTCATACAACCCAATTAAGTATTACCTGAGATAAAGAGTTCCTTCTTCCTCCTCCCAGTCTCAGAGGTAACAAGGATTAATGATTTTATGAAATAATTTTATTACTGTACGATCTATTTAACACCTTAAAACTTTACCTGAAAATGTGAATGCTTCATGATCTAGTTATATAAAACAGGAAAAGGGGTCTTCATAATCCCCCACTTTTCATCACAGCAGCTTTATTTTTCATATATTGGATATTCCTGTATGTTTTTGTCTAAAATAAAAGGACGATAATCTGGATATATTTAAGGTAACTATGCTAACAAATGGGAAAATGCAGAAAGCTGGGTTTTTCCTTTCAGAATTTAAATATCCAACAGGATAACTTTTCCCTTCACCTGTTCTATTTAATGCTACAAGTCTTCACAGAAGTAGCTCACCTCCATTCTTCCAACTAAATTAACCCCTTTGGAAAAAGTCAGAAAACAGTAGATTTTCAATATGCAGCATTTTTGAAATAGAGTATTTTGTCCTTTTTAAGACCAAATAAACTGTAGCAGTTGGAACAGACCTTAGTCCAATACTCAGATTACAGCAGCTAAGATTCCAAAGCTTATCGGTCTAAGAATGTTTTCTTAAAATTTAAAACTCAACAGTAACTACAAATGTTGACACTCAGCTAAACAGTCATCTGTTATTAAGACTGGCATGTGTACATGTGTGGAGATCCGCAAAGACAGCCTTGTTTTAAACACTGTTCTAATCATTCTTTTTTTTGGTACTGGGGACTGAACTCAAAACCTTGTGCTTGCGAGAGGTTCTAGGTACCTAAATATCCCTCTCTTCACCTCACATTTCTCCCTCCAGAAAGGAAAACAATTTGTTTTGTGGAAATTAGACACACAAAGCCTCTCCAAAATCAGAATGATCTATTCCCAATAAATCAAACAGGCCAGTATAAACCCTTATAAAGCAGGAATCCCTAACAAGGGATTCCTATGAATTCTTCTGATTCTCTATTATGTAGTGGGATATAGGGCTCTAATAAAGAACACTAAAAACTCAGGCCCTTGATCACTGAGAGCCTCAAATTTATGCATTATATTATCATACAGCACAGTTGTGAGAGGTAGGGGTGGGTGCTAATCATACCTGCTTGGTGAAACAGTACCCAACTTAACTGTTTCCTCACAGTCATATTATGCCAAGCTGTAGACGTCTCAAATGTTCAAAGTGTTAAACTGTTATGTTTTGCTGGACTCAGTCTGTGCGTAATAGTGATTAGTGAGTCACTTTACCAGTTACAGGACTTCTAAGGAGACAGACACAAATCCTTCCCCAGATAAGCTTAAAACTAGACCAGAAAAGTGGGGTGTAAATACATTTGTACCCCTTGGGATTAAGCTACCTATCTCTCTTCACTCAAATTTCCAGTTGAGGAGCACTTTTCAAAGAACTCAACAATGGACAGTTAAAAGCCATTCACCTTGGAAAAAGGACAACTTTGTTCCTTGAGAAAAATGCATTTATTCTTACTGCAATTTAGTCCAATACCAACATAATCCCTTATTGTCTACATTTATTTTGGAGCCAACATTAGACTTCTTGATTAAAAAAAAAAAAATGCAACTGGGCCTGTAAAGTCAAAAGGAATTTTCAAATAAACAGGAAATTAAATGGTTGCCTGAATGTTTTGCTCCCCTCAAAAAACTCCATCTATTTTTACAGTTTACTTTCACCTATTCTGAAAAACTGGATTAACTATGGGAGGTAGGGCCTTCATCTAGAAGCTTATAAACTGGATAGGCTAGTCAATTCTGTAAAGATCCATCACTGGCACCTTAGAGAAAGCCACAGGGGATATTATGATTTGTTGAACACCAAGCTTACAATTAGAACTGGCCTGAATAATGGCGGTTTAAAGTATTTATGTGCATACAGCTAGAGAAAGCCACTTTTAAATAAACTTCGAGATTGTTTCATTTCAGTCTCTTCTTCGCATCTGATGGTATTCAATTTTTCCTTCCTGAATGCCCTCTTGGGTACTAAAAACTTGCTTTTTTCAGAGTTGCACAACATATGTATAAAGAACAAAGAACTTTTATAACTTCCCAAGGCCACATACCTACATACCAATCACATCTGCAAGAATGCAGAGTTTGAGTAAGACTGAGTATGACCCATGAAAGGTCAGGGAGGAGAAAGATTACCTTACGAAGGATGAATGCACGAACAAGGAAGAATAAAGCTCCAGACATAATACCAGAAAGTAGTGGAGAGACGAACCAAGACATCACTGAAAGAGAACACATTAAGAAAAAAAGATCAACTAATGGAACCCAAGAAGTAAAAAGTACTTACATGCTCTATTTTCAAATCTCCTAAATCTGTCCCTCTACTTCACACCATATATTAACATACATAATATAACGATAACCTATGACAAAAATAAAATTAAGCCATTCAGAATTTAACATACCAATTTTTATCAGTTCAGACCACTTGACACCCTCCTGCCCCTTGGCCACAAGAGAGAAACCAATGGTTGCACCAACAATACAATGGGTCCCAGAAATGGGGAGCTTCAAAAACGAAGCCCCTAGTTGCCACACCGCAGAACCTGAAACAGAGTCAAATTTAATTAAGTAAATGGCAAAACTCCATTATGTAAGCAATGCATTCGATGGAAATAATCTGAAAGATTTAGCACCAAAATGGAACCACCCATGTTACAGATTTGCTCATCCACCACTAAGAGTACAGTACATAAAAAGAACTTACCAAACATAGCACTGACTGAGCCTGCCATCAGTTCCTGGGTTGAGTTGTACATCTCCACATCAATCAAGCCTTGCCGGATGGTTTGGCTCACTTTGGCCCCCAGTAAGACAGAGCCCACAGTTTCAAAGATGCTAGCTAAGATACAGGCTTGCTTCAGGGTCACTACACCTGAGCCCACAGCTGTACCAAACGAATTTGCTACATCATTGGCTCCCACGGAGAATGCCAAGATAAATGCAATGATGAAGCCCAAGATAAGCATCCATAATGGATTAATAACAGCAGCAGTAGTAGCAGCCATTCTCTAGAGTAGTGGTTTGTTTTTTTTTTAATTAATGAGAGAATTACTTAGCGGCTTTCAAATGTGTAAACAGAAATATGAGGTATCAAAAATGCTATAATAACAATATATATAATAAATACTGTAAACTACGGCACAGAAACCGAGCTGGGGAGTTACTGCTATACGCTGCGCATGGGCGTCTGTTGTCTGGGGTGTCTTTGGCTCTGGAGGTCTAGAAGCCGGGAGCAGAATTCCATGGCGGATTACGGAAAGGACGCAAGTTCATCCTAGGTATCGAGTGGGAAGAAAATAACAATAGCAGCGCGTCTCCGGGAG